TAACCTCTTGGTTTTTTTTGTCTGGACCCAGGCAGATTGACTAGTCCAAGCCTGCAATGCCAGTTACAGGTAGCAGTTGGGAAAAGGGATGTTAACAAGATGACTTGCTTCCTATGTCTAATGCTTCTTTTAGCGGCCAGCTTCTAACCTTGTGCCAGCCAAACCCAAGTGTAACACTCGCAATTTGTTGACAGAATAGCCTAGGGTCTGTTTTGGGTTATCCTCCCCAGATAAATGGCAGGTTATTTATCTTGCATCTTCACCCTGGAAGAAGCTCAGAACAACGTCTGTTGTAAAAGTATCAACAGTTGCCCAAGTGGGCTTGAGCCGTCACCTTGTTGTATCTTACTCTCCTGTATTTTGTTCTCTTCCACCAGCTGATCTACATGATGGCTACTACATATAACTATGCTGTTTTGAAGTTTAAGAGTCGGGAAGATTGCTGCACTAAATTCTAAATTGTATAAGCCCAGTAAAGAGCTGCATTGCGTAGCTTGAAATACCACTGACACCCTAGGCTAAAAGTCTAGCTTTCTGAATTTTGTTACAGTAATTGTAAATAGCTTCAGTAAGCATCGTTTAGCTTATCAGATTAATAAAATGACTTCTTGTATATGAACTATGATGTGGACGAGATCTGGCTATTTTTTTTATGTTGAGAGGATTCAGTTACTGTAGGGGTGTTTATAAAGCATCCTTCTGAAAAGGGGATGTTTTCATTTCAAGTCTCCACTTGCTTTCTAACAGTCATCTCAAACAAATACTGGAAACAGTTCAGGGTCAGAATTATTAATTTATTCTTTAGCATGAAAGCCAAATACAAATATCCCCAAGCATACAATATATATAATGCAAAAGCAAAGGAATAATAAAGTAGTGCCAGTCTTTTTTGGCAGAGACCAGGTATTATGAATTAATATGCTTGTAGTTCCAAGTGATTCCATGGATGATGAAGTCAATTTTTTTCTCTTACTCCAAGTAATTGTCAAGTCATGCTCTTTCTAGAAGAAAATATATCCTTGTCTTAGCTCTGCGTAAAACAATCACATTCTTTCTTTTGGACCCTGAACTAGTAAGAAATGGTATATAAATCGCTTCTGTTCTTGTGTGACTGCACTTTAGTAACTGATTTCTCAGTAGCCAGATCTCAAAAATGTAAGTATGACTGCACGGGAAGCAAAACCATGCATAGATCACAAGGAACTTTTTACACTGTTGGGGGAAAAAAAAAGAGAAGTGAATCAGTGTTTTCAAATGTAGATGTTTTTGCATGAAGTATGGGGAAAAAGAAGTTGGCAAGAGACAAATGCACAAACTAGAAAAAAATCTACACAATAATTAAAAAAAGAGAACCGTTTGTTATGTAAAATTCTTCACCTGAGGTTGGACAATGGAAGTTTAAAATGTAGCTATAAAAATACAGGATTAAGACTTCTTAACCCGGAGATTGCATGCTTTTGCTTAGTTTTGGACTCATACTTTGATGTTTAATTTTTCAGTGTGTTAATGTAGCCTTGTTCGCGTAAATAAAACGGTTCACAGTTTCAGGTTTTTTCCATGGGGAGGGTGGAATTCTCATCTGCTTGTTGGGGGGAAAGAGATACCAGGCTCTGGCCTTGGATATGCATAAACACCACAACCTTAGAAAGCAGTTCTTCTGAGCACCTCATAGGTTACTGATTACGTATATTGCCACGTACAAAACTGTTTTCCTGCCTCCCCCCCATTCTGCATTTTAATTGATCCGTATGACTCTGTAGCTCTTTTTAATATTGTTATACTAACTTTCTCTGAATTGTGAATAACCAACTGAATTATTAGCATGCCAAATTCTAGAGATCTTTGAAAATAGCCTCTGTGCTTGTTTTAATAACAGAATGCTTATTAACGTAGAATAACTTGGTTTTTTGGTTGTTATTTTAAAAAGCGTCTATTAATCTAACTACCAGCTTGCTTTGCCTCTTGACATGCTCACTCGCCATCATGCTCACCCTTCTCTTCCAGATCCACTTCCTCATGATACTGTCTTCTAACTGGGCCTACTTAAAGGATGCAAGCAAAATGCAGGCCTACCAAGATATCAAAGCAAAAGAAGAGCAGGAGCTTCAGGATATCCAGTCTCGGTCAAAAGAGCAACTCAATTCTTACACATAAATGTTTGCCACAGTAATTCAGCAGAAGAGTTCTGTAGCTCTGACAAATCAGCAAATAGCTGCTCTGCAGTACAGATGTGTGTCTACCAAACAAAATTAGAGAGAAGTGCAAAAGCTTCACATTCCAGCTCCTGGAACACTTTAATAGGGAAATCTTCCCATGGGTAATCTTCCATCCTTTCATACATAGAATGGAGGGTTTATTCCAGGCATTTTAAAAGGCAACACTTTACAAAAAGCGACCAAATGATTCTTCTTTGAGACTTTTGGTGTTTAACATTTGACTTGTTCTACAGCATCATGTCCTGCACCAAACCGTGGCAGGTGCTCCAAACCCGCAGGCAGGAGATCTGTGCAGACCTCAGGCACAGGCACGTGCACGGTGTGTGATTGAGTGTCTCCCAAACAAACCTGTAGCCACCTGGGATTCCTGGCGTAGGCTTCTGCTTACGTGAGGCGCAGCTGCAGCATCTCCCAAGTTGCAAGGAGGCTGTCTTGGAACGTGGGCCACAGGAGCAGCACTCCACCCTGGTGCCACACTTGTCCATGATGAAGCTGTCACGTCCCTGTGCTTACCTGAGTGTCGAGCAGATGTCCCAAGTTTTAATCTTTTTATTAACTATTTAATGGAATGTAGACCCTTGGATCTGGATAATGATCCCCTTCTTTGAAAATAAATGTCAGCTTTGCCTTAATATTTATTTTCTATAAATGTCTTAGCATTTATATAGTGGCAGGAGACCATTATCCTACATTTTAAATAAGTGAAAAGTGTTACCTTATTAAAATGACACTGATTTGACTATTCCAAATGAGTGGATGAGAAAGTTTGCAGAGTTTTACACAAACAATAAAAATTACAGCCATAAAAAATAATACAGGATGTCCACCTTTTTCTATCTTGGTGCTTAGCAAATTTATAGTCAGTGCTTATGTGTTTTCCTTTTTACAAATTAATTAGCACACTAAGAAAACGTGGTGTTCAGAAAAAAAAACAAAAGAAAAACAAACAAACTGGTGCCATTTTAAAGTCATTACCCATAGAAGTCTGCCTTCTAATTAATGGTTTTTTTCAGAAGCATTCAGTGATATCTTGAGTATTAGTGATGGTATATTTGGTGTTTGTTCTATATGATATATATATATATATATAAATGTTGGGGGGGGAAGTAAAAATACATCATTCATTTGAAAAAATTAAATATTCAAGTCATACCCCTGCTAAGCTGATGTGTGGTTTGATAGTTCTAACTGTTTGCTGAATATACATCAAAGGAAGCACAAATTCCTTCAAATCAGTACTATGAGAAAAGGTATTTTTTGGGGGTATTAACTTCAACTATAATTTTTTTGTTAAATATTGAAGTCTAATTTGACAGTTTCAAAAAAGGGGCAAAGTTGATTGATGTAGAGCAAATATGACAAAATAGCCTAGTGTATGTTCTTACCTGTTGCATGAAGGAGACATTTCTACAGCAATGCAGGTGATGTTCTAGCCCAGTGTTTGCATAAGGGTAATAATGGAGGCAGTGTCTTAAAGCCTAATTCTTTTCTAATTCAGTGTAGCTATTACTGGGAGTTTTTGAAGTTTTGTTTAAGTAGTCTAATATTTTTATGTAAAGAGCATTAAATTTTGCTATGTATAAATTTTTGTAACCTAACAGTGAATCAATATTTTCTATCAGTGCCAAGGGCTTCCTGTAGTTACATCCAAGTGTTAAAATAAATATTTGTAGATAATAGACAACACTTGTGTATGCTTATTTGAAAACAGACCTACAGCTACTCCATGGCAGTGCATCTCTAGGCTTTTTGTCTCTATCCGAAGTGAAACACGTTGTGTTCCCTAGTTCCCCGCTCCCTCCTGCAGGGAAGGGGATGCCCTGTAGGTGCACGCTGCAGTGTGGTGAGGCAGCCAGTGTGTCTAGCATGAAGTAGTGGTAGTTGTTCCAGGCCAGCATAATGCAACAAGCACTACCCGTCCCGTTCCCGACACCGAACAGGAGGAGTCTCTCAGAATTTGTGAAGGCCAACGTGGCTGCAACAGCAAATTAAGCAGCATGTAAAATTAAGACTAGCCACCATCTCACATTTTAGCTTCATTTCAAAAAGCAAAGTTTGTATCTGTCACGGTTTTGGTACGTTGTGTTTCAACATCCAGTGAATTCAAGACAGAGCTTTGTTTTTTGCCCCTAAATTCTGTCAAACTTGGCTTCATGTTCTTGTAGTTAGATCAAGATGAGCAGCCTCAAATGCAGTGCAAGTTGTAATATATGCTGCCACCCAAAATTACTTCATTGATAAAAACTACTGTATTTTATACTGTAAATAAAGTTTAATGATCTTGCCTATAATCTACCTACAAAATACAAAGCTTAAATAAAGATGAGTTAAATAGCATTTTTATTTTAATCTCTCCGTTCTGGGCTGGTTAATACCAACAAGGTGATACATGAGATGGGCCGCTTTTGGAAGTGGTTGCTGCCCCTGCCACAGCAGTAGAATGGGCACGTTAGTTTGAGTCTGTCACACTCGACACTCTGAAACTGTGCAAGCCAAGTGTCTCCACGGGACACCTTTAAAAGCAGGTGATGATGACTGAATGTTTTGTTACCTGCACACAGTTACTTTCACCCACACATTGCACCATCTGGAGGAGAAGGGGTTGGGAGGTGGGGGTTGTCAAAGTTTCCACGAATTCGGTGCCAAAACAAATCTACCCAAACATCCTGATCAGTTTCTGTTCTCTGCTTTGTCCTTTCTCTAACCCCACCCAAGGGCTTCCTCCTGGACTAGTGGCACATCAGGACTCGCTATTTGATAGCAAGTCAATGACTGAAGTGATGAGACGGCTCAAAATCAGCTTTATTAATTTATAATTACACAGCCTGCAATGTTAGTGCTTAACATTTATTACAACTTTTTACAGGCAGAAAGCTGCGTCAACAACATCTTTCTTATCATAATAATTAAAATTAAAAAATCAGAAGCTATTGTTCACCAGAAGCTTTCATCCATGTCTCCATGAGAAATGTCTGCAACGCTGTATTGATTATAGAGAGAGAAAGTGGTATGAGTCCAAAGTAGTTCTTGTCTTAAATCTTAAATATTAATACTCATTTTAAAAAGAGAGTAAAGAGACTGCCTCTGCTGCAATTCTCTTGATGTTTCAGTGAACTAATGGCAATAAGCCAGCCCTTAAGGGTGAGGATTTGGGCCTTCATTAACTGAAAGCCATTACCTATCTCTCAAAAAGCAGAACTATCTATCTGCTGCTTCTGTAGTGCTTACCCAGTGAAAACAACACCAGTGGTGCCATCACAGGAGCACCAGGGTAGGGTCTGCTGTGTTTAACAGCACTTTAAAGGCACACAAAATAATGAATCATTACTACGGTTATGGTGAGCCTTTAGGGTTTTGGGTTTTTTAACTGCTCCACCTTTTTTGCTTATTTTCAATTCTACGTCTTCAAATAAACTGAAAGACTTGATAGGAGGTTGTTTGATTTTTTTCCCTTTCGAGCAACTAAAACCTACATACCCTTACTTAGCAACGCCTAGAGAAAACCAGAGGAAGTGCCCAGGCTGTCGTAACTCAGTGCAGGCAGTCAGATCTTTGAAAAAACCATGTTAAAAGTCCATGATGCTACTGATAAATCAAATCTAGAGTCAGTGCTAGTAACAGACTATGGGTAAGGTGCAGCACAGACAAACCTTCACACATGGGGTCATCACCCAAGAGGAATCCCTCATCAACTCACTGTGAAGGAATTCGGATGCTGCTCAGTTGCAGACAAAAAGTTGTAACTGCCAACAGCTACTGAAACAGATCACTGAATGCAGCTCCTAGATGCAAGTTAAGCACCACATAGTGCTTAACTTGCATGTATAAGAATTGGAAGGATCTTAATTTTTCCAATATATTTGTTCTTGATTGCTAATTTATTTTGCTTTTTAAGGAGGCAAATGTCTCTTAAGTGTAATTCATATTGTAACTATTTATTAATTTGGAGTAATAATTAGTATTATTATGTAGTAATAGCAATTAATATTTAGGATTAATATGTAGTAGTAGAAATTATTAATACATGAGCCTCACCTGTCATCCTTTTCACTAGATAGAAGTCCCTCTGAATGTGATACTTCTCCTATTTCTTCTTTTTTTGAATCCTGGCAACCAAGAGAAAAAACACACTTTCTATAACTGGTTCTTAAGTCAAAATGTAAGTGACTCTATTGATAGTATCTGTATTTTTAAAACACCTACCCTATGTCTACAAATACTACATTGAATCTAGAATAGTAACACTTTGGAAATTCAGATTGGATCATGTGTGAACAAAGCATCCTGCATTTCTTTCACTGAAGTAATGTCCACTCATACCTCTTCTTTAATGTCAAATGTTCCATTTGGCCAGAATAAATTCTATTAGTTGTGTTAGTGGAACACAAACTGACCTGTGTAGATTCAAACTGTATTTAAACACAAACTAAAAATTGAGGACATTTAAGTTGTAGAATCATAGAATATGCTGAGTTGAAAGGGACCCACAAGGATAATTGAGTCCAACTCCTGGCCCTACCATCCCCAAGAGTCACACCATGTCCCTGAGAGTATCATCCAAACGCTTCTTGAACTCTGTCAGGTTTGGTGCTGTGACCACTTCCCTGGGAAGCCTGTTCCACTGCCCAACCATCCTCTGAGTGAAGAACCTTTTTCTAATATCCAACCTAAACCTCCCCTGACACAACTTCAGGCCATTCCCTCGGGTTCTGTTACTGGTCACCACAGAGAAGAGATCAGTGCCTGCCCCTCCTCTGCCCCTCACAAGGAAGTTGTGACTGCAATGAGGTCTCCCCTCAGTCTCCTCCAGGCTGAACAGACCAAATGACCTCAGCCACTTCTCATACAGCTTCCCCTCAAGGCCCTTCACCATCTTCATTGCCCTCCTTTGGACACTCTCTAACAGCTTAATACCTTTCTTATATTGTGGTGCCCAAACCTGCACACAGTATTCAAGGTGAGGCCTCCCCAGTGCAGAGCGGGACAATCCCCTACCTCGACCGGCTGGCGATGCTTTGCCTGATGCCCCCCAGGACATGGTTGGCCTTCCTATTGTCCTAGTACCTAAAAAAAACAAACTAACAAACCCGTTGCCCAGAGGACACCAGCAACCCTTACAAAAGAAAGTTTTCAGTGTTTTTTCTTTTGGATCATCACACTTTCTCCAATACAAAACCAAACACTCTGCTCTGCAAGTTGTTACATAAAGTTTCTAAATGAAGAAAAAACTAAAATGCGAATATTGTTTTCGTTCTAAGCATGCCTAGCAAGACACAAATTCAGTCAATAATATTTTTGGGACCATGTTTTGATGATAATCACCTTGTTTGAGAGATCCTGCTCTCTGCTTTGCTGAATTATTCTCATGTATTTTTCTAATGGATTTGAAGGAGGATCCTTTACATGATCTTCAGCACCAGAATTGCTATTCACAGATTTTACTCCCTCCTTATCTTCTTTTTCTTCATCTATTGTCATCGAGTCCTGGATATACTTAAAGACACAAAAAAGTAAGATTAAATACTGATCAGAAAAATATCTTTATACCTTAATGCCTGCACTATGCAGGATTTCATGTTAACCTCAGTAGAACACATCTGTCTAAAAAGCATTAAACTTATCACATGCCGTTCAAGATGAAATGTTAAGCTATTGCTTCCATTCAAAAAGTGATATTCAGGAAAACCCACTCTAACCCTGTCTGGATGTCCGAGATGCTGTGGGGCCTGAGGCTGCGATGTGTGACAACTGCGTGTGAACTGAAGATGATGAGCAGGCACAGAAATGCAAGTTTCCTGAAGGGCCTCATTTGCTGGTGCCAAGGGTTGTGTGAGCATGTCTTATCAGTACCAACCACTGCACTGAATCAAATTAACCAATTTAAGGCTGAGGAGAGGAAGATTAAATGGTCGGGAGCAAAAAATAAGTTTTACACAGGACCTAGAAATCCAGAACACTATTTAAACACAAGTTAATAAACACTATTTAAACAAGGAGTAATAAGCAGATGGACATTAACATGTTCTGGTGGTGTCCCACCTGCACTGGTCCAGACCAGAAAGACAGTGAATGTATAGCTTGTTCCAATTGCCTGGTGACAGTGGACTTCCAAGTTTTGCCATAAAACTGTAGTTTCCATTTACATGAAGCATGGAAGGAAAAGCATCTGTTTCCAGTGAAAAAGTTACTTGGCATAAGGAGACATTCTAGTGAGACTCTAGTTGATCACACAGGTACATAAAATAACTTAGCCTCTGATACTTCCACTTCATAGAATAAAATCTATTTTTAAACAAGTGGCACACACAGCAATCCTAAAATGCAGGGCACTACAAAGCTCCATTACTTATTAAGTTACCATCTCTTTGTTAAGCTTTTCCACTTCTTCTTGCTCGCTTTCCAAAGCTTCCTGTTGTTCTCTCTCTCTCCTTTCTTCTCTTGCTTTCCTTTCTTCTAAGTTTTCCTCAACTTCTCTGTTCTGTTCTTCAATCTGTCTTTGATCCAGCATCTCTGTGAAAAATTATTTCAACATCTGTCATTTGATTTATGTAGTTCAGTAATTGCTACAAGAGCATACAAATAAGTACCAGGCTCCTGTATAACATTAATAAAAAATGAAAAGCAACTGGATATACTGTTTATACATACATCAAAATTATTCTTGGGTATTGGGCAATGTTTTTTCCCCTGTAAACATTTTCAGCCTGATATATGACTCACTAAGAGTTAAGCAGTAGAGCCTAAGTAGAGGCGAGAGAGTTGACAAGTCTATGACACTTCTCATGGGCATTCTCATTAAACCTTTGTTATCCCAAAGTCCATTTTACTATATTCTTCCATCTCTGCAATGTGGTTGGATACAATTCTTTATATTTATAAAGCAAAGTACTTAAAACCCCTTTGAAATTTATTGCGGGACACACTGCTGATGTGACCAGTGTATTTAAAGAGCAGTCTACATAGAACAGCATCAGATAGTAACAAGAGGGGCAAACTTAAGTACTGGGAATCATGAGATGCTAGAAAGGTCTTCTCTAAATAAAAATAATCATAATGCTTCCATGTAGAACAATTAGAAAAGCAGCATATGCTGACTGAAATCATCCTCATCTACCCAAAGAATTAAAACAGCCTTGCGATAATAGTTCACCAACAAAGTCAAGAAAAAAGAAAAAAAATCCAGACAAGCAGTACATAAAATACTTTAAAACAAAACATTTCATGTCTTATTTCTATCAAGAGCAGAAATTTCTATCAGGAGCAGAAATTTCTATCAGGAGCAGAAATTATATGTAATAGTTATCCTAAAGAAAAAAAAAATTCAAATCACCTCTGCAGAAGCTGGACGGGGGGGTGGGACAGGTGGCAAAATATTAAAATGAAATTCATCTAAAACTAGGGTGAAAAAAAGTCATCCTCATACAGAACAGCAAAAGAAAACACTCCTTCCTCTTTAGTATAACATTAGCACTTTTTGGAAAATTTTTCAATCACACCAGCATACACACCTACAGAATGTTAAATATTTGGCTTTTTGATTACACATTTGACATATAAAAAACATATTTTATTTTCTGTCTGAGCTGAGAACTCACTTAAATCCTGAAGTGAAGTGGCTGTTGCTGGCACAGGAGCTGTGACACAGTTTCCATTAACGATGTCCCCAGATGGAAGCAACACATCACTTTCACACTCCTCTGGCACGTCCCCCTGATCTGGAGATGAAATTTGAACAATGGCTTCATTATTTTGTAATTGCAAAAGTGGAGCACAGTAATGGACACAAAGTGTGGGAATGGCTGAATTAGAACACATAAATATCAGCACTAATTGAGCATTTTCCCTTCAGCTTGACCATCTCCCTAAAGATTAAGAATTATCATAGGCATGATACAGAATTGTTAATTTTGAAATTAGTTATTGCAACACATCTGTTTATAAAGTCAAAACAGAAGAAATATGCAACACAAACCCAAAATGCTTTAATTTCTTTTCATAATCAAGATACAGGTCACAGAAAAATTACTTAGCTCATCCTTTCTATGCATATAAGAACAATCTTTAATTACTGATCACACACTCTTTATTGTGAAGCTTGCCTTCTTCAGTGCACAGGATGGATGCTAACTCATATATTCTACATCATACTGTCTTCTCCCTGTGCAAAGTGGCTCTGAATTCACAAAACCACAATTACTGTCCTTTCTCTGTGATCATTGCTATGATACTCAACTGCTTCTTACTTAATTGCAAAACATGCAGACTGCTACTATCTCAATTTTATGGGAGAAATAAAAAAAAGAGATTAAAAAAAACTTAGATGTGGTCATTTTCTCTAGGTAGCCAACCTGAAATACACAGGACCATTCTCCCAAGCATTGAGTATAACACAGCACAGAAACCTTCTATATCTCCATAGGTTTGGGGTAAAGTTTAGAAAACATCAATATTCCATCCTTCAAATACTATCGATGTCTCAAGCATTTTTCTTTTCTACATTATAATAAAACTTAAATATTTTGCACAAAGAAAAACAAGACAACCAAACTGATGGGTCTCTCTCTCAGAATGGTTTGAATTTCTGTAAATTAAAATTCTTTTAAAGGAACTATAGATGAAAGCATCACAGAAAAATTCTGCCAACCTGTCAGTCTAGCTAATTTAGTAGAGCGTTTTCAGTTTCTTACAAAAGCAATGAAGTCCTACCAGCTTCAACCATGAAAATAAATTCTATTTTTTTATCTGTTTTTTTTGGTAAGACCAAAATAATGGGCTATCACACTCAAACGAAAATGTATTCTGTTTAAATTATAAAGCTATCAATAACAACAGTATTTCCATATGAGGCACCAGTAAGCATCAAGGTATGTAATATTTAAATAGTCAAAAAATTCCTTTCACAAGTAGGTCCCTGTAAAATATTATATCTAACTTCTAAATGTCTGCTAACCACATAAACAAACAAAAAGACCCAAATCAAAACCAATGTAGTGCAAAACATCTTTAAATTATCCTTCGGCAAAGGAAAAAAAAAGGTAAGTTTCTTGGTACACTTTCACTCCCTTATGTAAGGGTGGACAGTGAGAAATGACTGTTCCCTTAAGATGAGCACATCATTTAAAAGCAATTTCTGCCAACAGAATCTGCCAATCTTTTCTTGCTAGAGCTCACTCACAGTAGGGCTAAAAGACCTCCATATTTTCTGGCATCTCCTTCACTTCATCGTTTTTAATACTCTTATCATCTTTTTCCTTCATTATATATTTTTCTGTATTTAATTCTTTGATTTTACATTCTTATCCCACCCCTCCCTGCAAGTCCTCCTGAGTTACCTCCTCCCCTCTCTTTAGCCAGTCTGATTTCCTCCTACATACTGAGATTGTCTTTTGATGCAGTCAGACCCAACTACAGTACTGTTGATTGAAAATCATCAGCATATGTGAACTCTCAGAACTATTGACTACCACACATTACTAAATGATAAAGCAGTACCTGAATTGTGCACAGCATCTACTCAGTCCTAATTGCCAACAAAATGCCAGTCTGTTGTCATATGTAATAAAATAGAAGTGAAATATGTAATGTATCCCCCAAAGCCTCTAATACAAAATTAAACAAATAAATCTAAATCTAATTAAAATGTGAGATGAGTAGAAATCATTAATGGCTATGGGTTTGGTTCACATTCAACTAATGCACTTAAATCTTATAAAAAGGAAATTAAATGAGATTAAAAAATATAACTGAGTACTGAGTAAAGCTTCACAGAGAAATGTACAGATGAGGCATCAGCTTCTGCTACTTACTATCACTAACTAAACACTATCAGCACATTTGCTGTTGAAATAAACATTATCTTTTTTGGTTGGTTCATTTTAAAATACTGAAAGTCGTGTTCTCACAGGTCCAGGAGAGCAAGCAAGGGCATCACTCCACTTTCCATATGACCTAACCACAGTCAAAAGAATAAACCAGTCTGGGACCAAGGAAAACACACCAGTTAGAATGACTGGTTTCAAAGAAAATATCCCTAACTCTCCCACAGAGCAATCACAACCTCTTCACCAATTATGAGTTTAATCATACCACACACTGCCACATCTCCACCAGTCTCAAGACGTCACAGACCTAACAAAATCTGGAAATGGGAAACACGTTTAGGTTGCTGTTTGCATCTTTCTCATTGACGACTTCATTTACTTTAAACCCACAGTTTCTGGGAGATGAAGCTGCTCAGGCCAAACATTAGGATGCCACTCAAATGTGGAAAAACTAGGAAATAAAGCCAGTAACTGTGCTTCTGTTTCTCTCTCCGTATGCAAATGGCTATAAAGTGCATTAAGTTTTATTATCCTCCTCTTTCTAAAGTACCTTAGTTACATCAAAGATTTTTGAAAACTGACTCTACATCATATAGAGACAAGGAAACATTTTATAGCATGCAATCCACAGAGAGCAGAAATGCAAATAAATAAAATGCTGACCTCATAGAAAAAAAAAAGGATAAAATTCAGGTTTCAGTAACTGAACCACATGTTCCAAAACTACTCAGAGATGCTGATTAATGACAGCATAATTGTGAGAGCTCTTCACATATTTACACACAGTGTAAACCAAATTCTAATTCATAATACTATTTTAAGCCTCAGTTACTGAAGGAAAAGTCAAGAGCATATCCAATGGTTGCTGAAACTTATCTTCAGAATCACAATCTAGTAATACTTTTTTCGATTTTGGTCTATGGTGAACACTCCTTGGAGTTCTACTTTATGCAGTAAATATAATAAAGCCTCAATGTAGTTGATATACTAGTACACTTTTCCGTTTTAAAAAAAAATAAAAATAATCATACACAATTTTAAAACATTCTAAAACAACTGTCCAACCTACAGCGTTAAGCAGAACAAGGTTATGAAAGATTTCTGAACAAAAAGAATGTTACAAATTTCAGAACCAACTCGACTTCAGTGTTTAGTTATTACTACATATCATTATCTAAAAATGCAAAAATGAAGAAAATTAATCCTTTGTCATCTGAGATAATTGTTTTTCTTATTTCCAAAATCAGTCCGAAATTTTTCTCTCCAACTACAGTCTTAAAACTATGAAGACAATTGTCCTAAAGCTGTTTAGCCTCAAGGTGTTAAACAAACTGTCTGAAATGCACTAAAACTTACCTTCAAGAGAATAAATGTGTTCTTCAAGGTCATCGTACGTTAGTTTCTTAGGTTTGTGGATATCACTGAGATCTTGTTTATCTGTTTGTTGACTCTGAAGTCTGAAAGAATAAGGAAGAACATAAATAACTTAATAAATATAAATGCTGAACTTTGAAAAAAATAGCAATCTGAGATTTACTCACATGCTAAGCAACAGACTAAACCAAACCTAAAATCCATGCAACTGAAACGCTGGAACTTTCTGACTCAGGGTATTGAACTCCATTCTCTAACTTTTAACAAAAGTTAACTCCATCTCTCTGATAGCCATCTCCCTGCAGCCTTTCCCCAAGGCCTTTATATGACATCAAGTCATTACATTAAACCAAAATACACTATCAAAAGGAGTACAAATGAGTAAGAAAAACAACAAAAAAGGAGAAATACAATGAACTGTGACACTTAGTCAACTGAAATTAAGAAATTTGCCTTTTTAAGCTCTGTGTTACAGTTTAATTCCCATTTTGGTATCATCTGAACAGATGTGTTTGAAATGTATTAGGATTAGATGTCTGGCAAAACATAGACACAGGGGTGAAAAAATCTGGGTGCTATGAAAAATGGGGTTAGTGCCCTCATTCTAAATCCCCGTTTATCTCATCAGAAAGATAATATGAAAGAACAATGTCTCCCACGTGACCCTGCCACTAAAGTCTGACCAGAACCAGAATGGCAAAAGGAGTGCAGGTCACTAATGAAATTCAGCAGCAGCGCTTCATAAAGGAGCTTACTTCACACCAGCTGGTGCTCTTCATCACAGCCTAAATATATTTGTGCTTACAATTTCTAAGAAATTCAGGTCTTCCACAGGGCAAAAGTGGAGAACAAACAAAACATATCCCCATAATGAGATTTGTTCATTAAAAAATGTAAATCTGGGCCCAAACAAATAAATTTGTATTGTCAGAAAGATAGTTTAGTGTCAGTGGGGAAAAACACCCTGTAAATTAAATAGGACAGAGTAAATGGAAGTTCAAGTTTTTGGAAGTCTATTTCATGTTTTGAGTCTTTCCTTCCCAGAAATGGTTAAGTGTTAAATAATTCTTAAGGATGCAAGTTTCAAGGACATGCCACTTTCTTCAGTACTGTGTCCTGCAACACTACTAGAAAGACAGAGAACCCCCTGCCTCAGTAACAACCCTCAATCAGTCTCTTTAGGCCTAAACAAACAAACAAACAAAAATTTAGACAATAATCTGCCTTATCACTCTAGTCTTCCTGTCTGTGTTTATTGGCTTTCTTCATACCACTCATATCTTGGAACGTAAATAAACAAGGAGCTTCTGTGGTCACAGAAGCAATTGTTCTTCCTCACTGACACAGGTCTGACTTCTAACGGCTTACTGGTGTTACAGGATATTTTCTTTTCAAAGAAGTTCCCATTGCCACTTAAAATCTACACGTCATAAACTAATCCCACAGTACACATCAATAATGTGGTATTTGCCTAATAATGAGAGTAAATAACTGGAAAAGCCCACACAAGCATTTCTCAAATATTTCACGTAACAGAAAACAGTCCAAGGCACAAGACATTAAAAAAAATATGCAACAAAAGAATGTTGCATTTAAGAAAGTCTTGGGAAAGCAGCAAGTCCAAGACAACTACTGGGACCTTATACCCTTGCTTTGTCATAAGAAACCCAAGAAAACAACTGCAACCCATAGCTGCCTGCCCAGACCTGGGTCTGTTCTCTGCAAAACAACGTGCTCATACTGTTCACTCTTCAAGCAGGATGGACTCTACAACATCCTTCAAAGTATCGTCCCTCACAGGATTAGAGCATTTTCGCATATCACCTTCACAAGTAGGTTAACATTCAACCTTCACTTTTTAAGGTCTGTCACAGAAATAAAGGAAATCTCTGACATATGATAGAAAAGGTGAAGAATGAGAAGGGAAAGGAGAGACAGCCTTAAAGGAACACTTAGGAAAGTAACCTCACAGTCCCCAAAAATCCCAACAGCTCATTTTCAAGGCCATGAACATACAGGCTCTCCGAAAATTCTAACCACATAAGAGAGCCTCTCTACATTAAATGGATCTTGAGGCCTTGATAACAACAAAATAAGAAAGCCCTTCGAATGCCTCCTACAGTTGCCCCACGACAAGCTGTCTTTCTTCACCCATCAAATCAGGAATGATGGCTAGCAAGTTAAGGCCAATTCCACGGTCTCTTCTTAGGAAAAAAACATTACAAGTTAAATACTTCTAATAGAAGCTTTTTCTGAAAATACATATTCAGGACTCTCAGTTTTGGAGAGTGGAGGCAACAGTGGCCATTAAGAATAGAACTTTACATATGGAAACAGGAGAAACAGAGAAGAAAGACAAGTCATTTTTATGCAAATCTTTAATTTTGTCAAATTATTTATTTACCTAGATAAGATTTAAAAAAAAAGAAAACAACAAAGAAAAAGAGAAAAGTTGTGCTACCCACCCCATTCCCACAAAGGGGGACTGGAGGATCCTATTTTGAAAACAGGCACATGAACAAGGTCTTCAGAGAGAAAAAAAAGTAATAAAGTTAGCATTACAGTTCATTAATGAATGAAATGAGAATGTACAATTGCCTTCATTTAAATTCCCAAACAGGTAGCAGAAATTCAAATGCTTCAATCAGCAAAAGCTCATCAGTCAGGTCACAGACGCGAAAAATAGACACAATTAAAGAGATATTGCTTCGCTCAAAGCAAACCAAAGCTTGCTTTTTTATAACTAAGTTCCTCTTGAGGTATGATATTCAAAAATGGAAATCCTTATCCACCTTTAAAAAAGTTTTCACTTATAAAATTAATGGCTTGCTTGATTTGTAAAAGCAGCTATCACTGTGAACAGTTAGATAAAACACTTCTTTAAATAGCAGGTTAAAAATGTTGCTTTGTAAACAATGTTACCTGATTTTCTGGGCATGACTGGATGGTGAGGAAGGAACAGACTCAGAAGATGAAAGCAGATATGGCTTTGAAATAGGAGAAAGCACTTGGTCAACACTCCGCTGTGAAGAGGTAAGGGATGAGCTCTTGATGTCTGCAGAATAAAAATCCCACAATTTATATTAGTTATTTGTCCTACCACTTCTCAGACAAGGCTGATTGTACAACATGTGCATTACTGAATTGCGCAGGTACGACTACTCAAGGACAACTAACAACCAGATCTTAGCATGAACTTTCTTGTACTGGTTATTTCTCTTCTTCCTTTACCTCTCCTGTGTGGGAATTCTCCTCCACAACCCTTCTCCATCATCATATTGTTACTCCTCACAAAGTCAATCATTCTCATCACCCCATAGTATGACCATGTTCACCACAAACTGAAGCCCAACAGCAAATAACTTCTCCTATGCTGGGCACTAGAGGAAGCACTCACAGACCTGGATTTCAAGCAGTGCTTACTAACCAGCAAAAGACAATGTTTGAGGTCTCCCAAAGGCTATTCTTCATTATCAAATTTAACCTACAGGTTTCACTTTCTACAGATTGGTGAAAGTGGGCGACAAAGAAAAGAAGAAAATACTTTAAGATTCTATCCTTTTATCAACAGCTGTGAAGTTATTGCAGAAAGAAACTGATAGTATGACTAGAAGTCTTGAGTTTTCTAAGAAACCAAGGTAAAAACCAAAACTGCATTAAGAAGGCTTTTAATAAAACTTGCGAAGCCCAGCACTTCGGTTAAGTTTTGCTTTGCAATTCTAATTTTCCTTTCCTGTGTAGCTGCACAGGTCTTTCATTACTAAACTACAATCTACTAATTTTCCCACAAGATATGGTATTCACTAAATAAGCAGGAACTGTTGTTTTTCTTCTCTTTATTGATCAAAGAGTCAGTGTTTATTTGGTTCAACAGATAGATGAAAAGCCACTATTAACACTTCCACACCTTTCAGGTGGTCATATAGAAGTGCTACCTGTTCATGGTGCACATCACATTGCAAAAGTCAAGATGCTTCAGACAACAGTTGCCCATGGATTTTTATCTCCAGGCAGCCCCTAGGCCCACACAACACAGCTGAACACCCTCTAAGGAAGATGTACACTAATAGAATGACACTAATAGCAGACACATTGTACTCATGTACTGGCAGTACCTGTTTGTGGTGGGAACCCCTCAGCTCACCCACGTCCAATCTTCTTTACAAAATAACTTGTCAAATTTTCACATGCAGAACAAATGGACAAGAACAGCACATAGTACTTACCACATGCACCTCCCTGCCATAATACATCCTGTATGTTAGGACACAGGTGACACACAAGTCACCTCATACAGTAACTTACTACAACCTACTACTATTTAGAAATTATCTAGGATTGACCTTACTGATTTTCTACTAAAAGACAAATAGCTGAGATCTTTGGCTCACAGCATGCTGTCTGCAAGACTCATCAACCTTGCCCTTTTTCATCAGAAGGTATAAAGCTTGGTCAAGTAACGATCAAGGTGAAAAGCACTGATCACGTAATAGGAAGCATGGGTCAGTTGGAAATCCAAACTTCTTTCTCAGTAACTGTTTCCTGGTCCGTGTTACTGCCTGTTAGAGACAGTAAGCATGAGAAAATAGAAAAGGATCCTGCCCTACTTCTAGTTGCTTTTAAAGAAATAGGCTTACTCCTTCCCAGCAGAAAGTCAAAGCTGAAATATGTCCAATGTGGGCTTGGGAAGGAAAACAGTCAAATGCATGAGCTAATTTAAAGGAAGAGAAAAAAACCGCATAATTCTTCCACTGGCAGTTAATTTAGTAAAACAGCTGTTAGATCTGCCAACTGCAAGTACTGTAGAAGAGGACATGCTTCTTGCTTTTATTCTCCAAAGATAGGTGCTGACAGCTGAGCTGCACTTAACCTCACTTAAAGCAAAAACGAATCTCAGACTCACATGCATGGTATCTTTTACCTCTTTAAATTTACCCTCAGTTGTTCAGACTGGTTATTTTCAACAGCACTGCAAAGCTCCACAGAAGGTGTCCAGAATGACTTACAGTTTTCTAGCAAAACCACATCTGGTGTTTCAGCCATCTCTAGCATAAAAAGATAACACATATACCAGTATAAAAGCACTCAGAAGACTCTTGAAAGAGAGGTGACATACCAGTGGGGAAGCAATCTAACTGGAAGCAGACAAATCAAGCTAACGGCGCATTACCACTGAAGCTCCTGTGTTTACTGGGGCACATACCAGCTGCAGCCTGGTTTCCTACACTACATACCACTCAATTTCTGTAACTCCTAAATCAGGTAATGCACTCTTATCCCTCTCCAGAGCCAGTCAGTCTTGTGCATTAATAAAAGAACTGATCCACTGGAAAAAAAGAGATCTGCCATCCTGTAACTAGCCATGAAAAAGTACAAAGACAGGGAGGATTGCTAAGGTTATGCACACAACTCTAGCTTTAACATTTCCTAATTTTTCAACAAAACCCTCGTGTTATGAACGATTTTGTGCGTGTGTAGTAGTAAACAAGTAGTCTGAGGATATTTTATATAGAAGTTGACAGAGAGAACTTAAAACATGAAAGACTGCTTTGGAAGTTTAAGTTTCAAATACGTTTTCAGTAACAGAGCATGATACTCTACATGCAGAAACACAGGGACAGCCACAATCAGAGTGTTTGTAACCTGTTTTTAACAGTGCCTGTTAATAACAGACTAAACTAAAATTGGAAAGGAGAATACCCACCCAAACTTTCCTCATTTGAGACTTTTTTGGATCCTCCTGACAGAGAAGTTTTGTTTCTGCATCTGCAGTTGTTGCCACAAGAGCAATAAATTACACAACTTACGGTATGAAAAAGCACTTCATTCTTTCCTTTCAATGTCATGGGATTCTGGGGTCTGTGAAGCAGTAATTAATCGATCCCTTTTCACCTTTTCCACATCACTCATTGTTTTCCAGATTTCCCACAGTCTACCTCAGCCAACTCCCTTCCAAACGAAGCTGCCCTTGTATTTAACCTTCCTTTATGGAGAAGCTGGTCGTTATCTTTTTTTATTTTTGTTACTATCTCTTTTTTTTTCATCCTATTAAATCCACTTTGAGCTAGGGTGACAAGAATTGCATCACTCAAGGAGCAGAAATACTGCAGATTTGAAACAACATAATTTTCTAAAAAAATTGAATTTCTTCTCTATTTTGCTTGCTTTTCTGTATATGGTCTTAAAAAAAAAGGAAAAAAGAGACTAAGTAATTATTAGACACTATGAAATTAATAGAAAATTAAAATTTTTCAACCATGACTAAACCCTTCCCCCTTACAATTGCTCAGGAATATTTGATAAAGATGTCACAGCAAAAACAACAAACAAAAGCAAATCTGGACCTTTCAGACTGCAAAGTTCAATTTAAGAGAAGCCAAAGCAGTCTTCTGCTGCACACGTTAACCAGAACAGTTAAATGAAAAGTTAGAAATACAAAAGGGATACAATTAATGTTGTAAAGTAGTTATATTTCATAGCAACCATTGAATGAAACTCTGCATATCATAAGGTTACACCTGTAATGCATTATATGGCATAGTCTTCTCTTGAGAGCTACTTAAGACATGTTTAACTTCCCTCAACATATTTCTCCAGTACTTGTTTCCAGGAATAAGCAGTACTCCAAGCAGCTAGTGTATTTTGTCTCTTGCAAAACCACAACTCCTGACTTCTGCATCTTCGCAAATAATAAACAAGGGAAAGACTAACACTGCAAAATCTTTCTCTTCCCATAGAGCAAGAGGAACAGTAAATAAAACTCCACTACTGCACCACATTAACAATCATGACTTACCATCTGGAATTTTCTTGTTACTGAGATCTCTCATGGATTTGGAAATGGGAGTAGAAGAAAGGCGTCTTGACAATGATGCTCCTCTCTGTGGTGGTGTTAAGGGATTTTTAAAGATATCGGCCTGCCCAGTTCTTTTGATGTGTTCTTCGCCTCTTGGACTGCTCAGAAGGGAATGTGGGAAGCTGGGATTATCCTCTACAAGTTCATGCTGGGTAGTCAAAGGGAGTCCACTAAGAGCATGCTGTAGAATTAAAGGAGACTCCATCTTTCTTGGTGTTCTGCTTGCAGCTGCATTCTGTATGACTCTGTGTTGGTAATTCCTGTAAGCTTCTTCCAAGTACTCTGCCTCTTTTGATAGCTCTTTTACTCTAGCCCAGGTCTGCGCGATGTACTCCAGGTCAGAATCCGGGGAAGCACTGCGTGGCTGTAACTGCTGGCTGTCTCTTGGCACAGCATTTACCTGCATCACATCAGTCATAACACGATTCTTCAGGAATGCACTATCCACGTAAATATCATGGGGTACAGCTCTGTCACTGGTGAAGTCAAGGACAGAGCGATCGACAAGCGAAGGTTTTGGGTTCCGATACACTTCGTTTTCCAGAGCTAAATTATAGCAAGAGAAAGTGAGTGACACTAAAGAGAGAGAGGGAGACCCATAATAAAACAGAAACAGTAAAACGTGGCATTTAAATTCCATTTTGATCAAAATTATTTTAACATGGAATTGGCTTCTATTTTGAGAATTTAATGGGTTGATTAAATGTATTTCTAATGTGGCTAAAAAGCTGCAAATTAACGTTACTATTTTTTATTATATAATCCTTCCATGTAAAACTACCTTAAATACATACTCTACAATGTTATTATTTAAATTATGTTTAAATAAAGAAATAAACATGAAAACATCACCACTTTGGATACCTTATATCTAATCATGCTGTTAAAGGCTGAAGAACACAAGGCATGTCACAAGTCTTAACAGTTTCCTTCTATTTAGAACAAAAAAGAATTTTGAAGAAAAACAACATAGCACACAGAAAATATTATAGGCTTGTTTTTCTTAAAGCACTAAAAAATTGTCAGTTAAATTGCATGTTTTGGTGCTGTCTGCTTCCTGGCTTGCACTTGCATGCTTCAACAGGCCCAAAAGGCCAATCTATAGGGCTGTTTCTTTCTCAGTAAAATTACAACCTTGATTTTTATTGTACATAAATGGTTCTTCAATGACTTCATTAACTCTGATGTAAATAAGTCCCTGCAGTACTTACAGTCATTTAATTAAAACATATATTTGCTATTTTGACACAAATAAATTTCCAATTCCAAATGGTACTGATACTTGTACCATAAATGAAAATGTACATATTGAGTTAGTGAATAATATAAAATATTGCATATACTGAATTATGATGAAACACATTATATATAATGTATAATCATTGCAGAATTCAATTCCATATTTTTACATTAAATATACATCCCAAAACTTTTACTTACAATACTTGATATTAGTAATTTGACAAAGGCATCTTTAGAACTACATTTCTTCAGCGGACTGAATTGCTTTATGCAAGTGCCTCTGTTTCTAATGCCCACACAAGATAAGTTAAGTTAGGCAAAAGTTATTAGCCTTGACAAATTCTGTTAATGAGTCTGACTTAAATTTCTGAGGTATGTAATACAATTTCAAATTGATTATTCTTATTATGAACATTCAGGAATCAAAATGCATTAAAACACAACTCGCCTGCTGGAAAATGCTGTTTATGTTATCAACAAACATTATTGCCTTCATACTGAGGAAAAACAGACAACAAAAATATGCAACTGTTCAGGGAGGAAAGTTTTCCCTTCCTCCTGTATATTTTTTTCTGAAAGGAAGTTTTAATGAGTTTGCTTTTTAAACTGGGCTTTTAAATAGATTTTGATTTTAAACTTTAAATCTGCTCCCTGGTGGTACATTAATTCTATGCAACTGCAGCTTTTTTAAGCTTTTGGAAATTCTTACACTTGTCCTTAAAGGACTGCTGTGGTTTAAGATACAAACCTGCCTGTGTTTGTTTCACTTGCAGTTTCAGTTCTTCAACCTGCATGTTTAATTTTCTGACAGTAGCTTCGGACTCTAAGAGTTGGGTCTCTAGCTGGGCACAACGCTCAACCTATAGGAGATCAAGAGAAAAACAAAACCCAGCATAATTCAAAAAAAAGAATAATTTCAACAGGCTGAATACTTGCTTTCTAAATGTTTTTCAGGTTCAGTCAAACCATTAGCACATAATATCCTATTGAGAGTCAGTACTGACAACTTGTTGACTTGGAAAGATTTACTTTGGTTATGTTGGGTTGGTTTTATTTTTCGGCAGTTTTTTTGTGTGGTATGTCTTTTGTTTTCTTTAGAGCTGTTTACATAAAAATAAGCACTGTACAAACAATCCTTCTAACTACATGCCAAAGAGCCTGCACAAGCAGATGGATGAATGTGAAAAAGATGACAGGAAGAAGAAAGGATTCAAATAATTTAGAAACAATAATTTACCTTACTTTGTAACTGCTTTTCCAAAATCTGCTTACGACTCTCAAATTCATCCAGCACCAGCTTCCTAGAGTGCTCCACTCTCCTCAGTTCCACTTGGCAGGCCAGGTACTCTGCTGAGGGCTGGGACAGCTCTACCCAGAAAGAGAAATACGAGACACTCAGACGAGTGTCTTTTCTACATGATACCCCCTGAAAACATAAAGCTGACTTGTTTTTATGAACATAACAAGGCTTTGCCTGAATAAACTACTTGGGGATTTTTTTTCTTCCTTTTTCAAAGGACTGAAATTTTTGTTGGGGTAGTCATACATCTCTACCCCCCCATAATCTCAAACATTAAAAATACTTGGTATTTATAACTATAGTTAGGCCAGCACTTAATATTGCCATGTTCTTTTACCATGGTTAACCATACTAATGCCATGATTAGAAATATTGCACTGCTTTTTTCAAAGGGTGAAAGGAATATCCTTCATATTATAACTACCACTTAATTCAGGATTTCTACCATACACACATATAAAAGAAAATAAACTTGTGTCAAGGACTGTTTAGATTTATGCAAACATTAGCTTGGGTTTCATGCAAACTACAAGTAAACATAATACAGAGAAAGTATTTTAATGAAAATCTATTTCTAAACAAATAATTGTAGAGAAAGATAAACAAGAGAATTACTAAATCATTCACACTGACTGTCTCGGAGATGCTGGTTTTCACTGCGAGCCTCATCCAACTGTTGCCTAAGTAGTTTATTCTGCACTTGGAGCTCCAATTTCTCTTCCTTTAGCAAAGGATAGTCTGATAACTCTTTCAGTTTCTCTGTCAACAACTGATTCTGTTTATTTGCCAACAGAACCTGAGCCTTCACTGACTCCAAATCCAGCTGCAAATAAAAAACAGTTTAGAAGCTTATGAACCTCTGTACTACTTAACAATTATTTTTAGTTCATATTTTCTTTTTTATTAACATACCTTAACTGCACCAATTAGAATACAGCTTCTTTAAATTCATATTTACAATTACCTCAAGCTCTTTCGTGCGTGATACAGCTTGTTTGAGTTCCTCCTTTTTCGAATTAACAGCAATGGTTTCTTCATGCAAAAGCATGGCTTTCTCTGCAGGGAGGATTACAAATGTTGAATTAAAATTAGTAGAGTATTACAGTAAAAAACTGTATCAGCAAAAAACGGTTTTAAGCTGCTAAGCCCAACATTCAATTTAATTCAAGACATAAAAATGATTGAATGTCATACACATTCCTTCAAAATTAAGTAAATCACACTGTGTGTATATATATATATGTATATACACTTCTAAAATGAAGCAAAATGGAATTCATATGTGAGTGATATATCATTTCTTACAGATGTACCTAAAAGTCTAAACATGTTATCTGTTCCAGCTCTCTTCCTCAAGCTCCACTTAAGCATCTCATGCAAAATAAATGCAGAAACTGGCAACCATTCAAGGGTTCGGTACCAGAGTTCAGTTAAAGAGTGTGAGGTAGTAGGACTTCAGAAGGAAAGGGGAAACTGGAAAACCAGGAATGCCTTGCAGCCTCTGTGCAAAGCGGCAGCTTACGGTTCCCATTGTGTTCTGAACAGCAAGGAGTTGCTGACTTGTCACTGAATCCTGCTACATCTTTTTAAAATCTGTTGTGATGGCTTTTCTGTCACTTATACCACTGTTACTGAACACTGTGACTGTTCAGTAACAATAGTGGTTTGATATTTGCTAGTAAAAGCTCTAGAGATAAACAGGTACTTTATCAATCTCAGACAGATGGTTACCTTTATTTTTTTTCTCATCTTCAGTAACTTTATTGGTTCTGGCTATGTATTCTTCTTTTAATTCAAGCTGATATCTAGAAGCAAAAAGAATTATGTATTCCCACAGTATGTGTGTACACACATGCCCGGGCACTTGCGTAAACTCCAGTCTTTCCCAAACTAAACTATAATCACACAATTATTATTGACAAAATTAACTATTGCAGGGCCACCAAAATGGTTGAAAAGGGCCCTGCCAATCACCTCATTCAACCATCTGCTTGAAAAGCAAGACTACTGCCAACTCTACAGCAGGTCATGTGTGGCTCTTCCTAGCCAAGTCTTGAAAAACCTCAGAGGATGTATGTTCCACCACCTCTCTGGATGATCTGTGCCAATGCTGCACTACTCTCCCATTAAAAATTTTTTCCCTATGTCCAAGCTAAATCTCCCCAGCCACAATTTATAGCCCTGCCATACGAACTCAGAGGTCACATTTGAGAATCCAATAACTATCCTGCTGGTCTTTACTAGGCCGCCTCCAGTTTCATCGTGACTTTTTTGAACTGGGGAGCCAAAACCTGGGTATGGTATTCCTAGAACAGCCTTCCCCAATACCTGAAGGAGCCAAAAAGTTCCCTGAGTCTGATGGCCATGCTGCTACTAATGTTACCATCATGCTGTTTGCCTGATTTGCCAGAGCACGCTGATGGCTCATAATCAACCTGGCATTCACTGTAACTCATCCATCTCCTCTTCAGAAATGCAGCTCCTCAGTCAATTAATTTTCTCCATTTATACTACCTCACAGGGCTATTCTGCCTCAATTCTTTGAAACTATGTTCAAGCAGATGGTACCAAATAAAAGAGGGTGATCTATATGAGAGAATCCCTCTCCAAAAATGGGAAGGGGTGAAGAAGGTAAGAGCAAGCCTGTCTGTACAATGGACTAGTGTGTCTCTCACCCTGTTTCCAAGAAACATGTCACATCTCTTTCATGTTAATTTCCCCTTTGTGCCTCCTCCACATTCATAAAAAGGTCAGTTCTTTTAACTGTGGTCAAAGGAAGTCACTAATACTGCTTCAGATTCTCTTCTCTAAATGTATGACTAATATCACCTCTCTTTTCCAGATATTAATACAGAATTTAAACTACAACAATAATATAACCTAAACTCAAAAGAGAATTTTTTTATACAGCAAGCTTTTTCTGAAGCTGACAGTACATTTTCTCTTACTAGCAAAGAGCTAAGCAATAATGTTAAGAATTCAAGCTCACTAAAACAAAAACATAAGTGTACATTTTCAAAGTTCTTGCTCTGTTACGCTTTTCAAAAGAAATCCTATACAATTTAATATTCTGTTTTCTAAGGAAGTAGCATGTGTTCTACTAGAGAAAAAAGAAAAATTTACTTTAAGAGTTCTGTCTTCAGCCTCTGGTCATATGTTTCCTCTATGTTCTTCACAGCAACCTCTCGACGCCGAAGTGCATCATCGATAGCTTTATTTTTCTCTTCCTGAAGTTTCTGAGTGCTGAAATACCCAAAAATATAGAGACCAGTAATATAATATAATATAATATAATACAATATAATACAATATAATATAATATAACATAATATAATGACCAGTTATAAAGTCAAAACTTTTTGTTTTCTTTTCTACAACAACATTCATAGACATCAAAGGGTAATGTGCTTACTTGGAATACTGTAGCAAGTTGAAATTATCATCAGAATCTGTCATTGTAGTTCATTAAGAACAAGGACATGTGACACAAACTAAATTGCCCTATTTAAAATCCAGTACTAATCAATTACACAGCTCTTCTGGGTTAACCCTGGCTCAGTTTCCCACACCAGAAACACTTCAGAGGAGAAAGTGATGAGCAGGCTATTCTATCAGCACCCTCTGCTGGGTTGATAAAAAAAAAACAAGTTTTTGTTAGCGGGATACTCGTTTTGCTCACAAACATTAAGTAGTATTGAAAATTTGACCAAAAATTTTCATTTTATTTTTTTCATTTAACTAAAGAAAACTGATCTTATTAAGGACAAATAAAAAAACCCAACTCCAAAACATAGGACTAACAAGGCAAAATATCATATATGTGACTCATGAGCGTTAGGGTTACATACTGTGTTCTTTGTTTGGGGGTTTGTTTTCTTTCTTAATTTAAGCACTTCAAAGCAAACATCTGGTTCCTTGCCCCCAAAGCAATGCTGAAACATTTTGGTTGGATGAAGAGGAATAGAAAAAAAACCAAACCCAGCCTTTGTGTGGGGTATCCTGCTAATAGAGACAGTATACAACACTGCTCAAAATGTAAAATGTAACTGCTGGGATATACAATCTACTTCAACGTCATAGTAGCAGAAACATCCTGAAGCACACTTTTCAGAAAAAGGACAACAGCATCATTTACATACATCCTTCAGCAACTTACAGCTCAAATGCCTCCATCCTTTCCTTCAGTTCCGCCTCCCTGGTTCTTACGGCTTCGATATCTTTCAGCAGACTTTGTCTCTGAGCGTACACTTCCTTTGCTTCTATCTGAATCACAAAATATTATCCCTAGATTTACTTCACATTTTATTTGTGTATTCACTGTTTAACATATTCAATTCACAAAGGATCTTCTTCTGAAACTGATCTTACTCCCATAAATATTAATTATAGAGTAATAATTTGAAATAACATCCAGAATCAATTGTACGTATCTTTTTGTATTCCCTTTCTACTTTTACTCTGAGTAAAAATGTTTTAAATGGAGTCACTATTGGCTACCTGTAAACAATTCTCCTTTAAGAAATAGCTCTGATTAAAACATATGTAAATGGAAAAATTACAGAATAAATATGTTCAAACACTTGACTTTTTAAAATAAAAAATAGTTTTGTATGTTTTCACAGGACATAATTGAAAAAACAAATACCAAACTCCCCAAGGAAGCATGATTTAAAACTGAAACTGAGTAAACCAACAGCTTTTCAGTTTTTGCAGTTTAACTTATAGAACTCAAACAAATTGTAAAAGGGATTCTGTAAATGATGAACATGTTAATACCAAAATTCACCTATCTTCCTATTAATAAAAATGGCTTTTCTCATCCGTAAGCACAAAAGACATTATTTCTCTCCAAAGAAGTAATAAATGTCTAAGAAGAAAATTATGATTTTGCCATACAGGTGCTTATATCAAGTTTGAAAGCTGTGTGCATTTGACAGTGCTGAAAGATTCAGCTGCTGCTCCTGGCACAGAAAAGAGAGCAGTTTCTCAAGCCACATTTCCAAGTTATCACAGTGAAGGCTTAAATGATCTGACATCTTTAACGTAAACATACCTGGATTCTGCTAAAAGAATCCTTATGTATATGAAACATACAGTTCTCAGTGAGTTCAGAAGTTGACAAGAGAAATTAAATATTCATACACAATACTTGACAGCTATGTTGATCTAGTAATTTGTTGTGGGGTTTTTTAATTATTGAATTAATTTCACACCCACAAAAGAAGACTGATAGCATAAAATAGATGGTTTTCTTGTAAGCTTCTAAGGACATAACCATGAAATAAATTCATGGCATAGTGACAAATTTTTTAATAATATAATAATACAAAAATTTATTCAGAAACCCGTATGACTTCTTCGTTAACCAATACCACATTTCTCAGGGGAAAAAAACAAGACACAAGCAAAACCATAAAACCACCACAACAAAGCAAAAATATGGTTAGCATTTGTGGATGACTGTTATTTGGATACGAAGGTCTACTGCAGACAGCAGGGGGGTAGCCAGGCAAACAGGCAACAGGAGAGCAAACAAACTATTCTCTCAAAGACTGAGTTAACAGAGACTGAGATAAGCAATTGAGAACTACATACAAATTATTGTGTGCTGTAGTAACAGTTACTACCCTGGCAAAACACCAAGAATTAACAGCCCAAAGGAGTAACTCATCAACACAAAAGTGTTCAAAGAAACAAACGCAGATGCCAGCTTACAGTAAAGACAGTGACTACTCAAAACATTCAACATATAAAGACAAACACAAACGGTCTACCTGTACCCTACAGGCTATGTATTCCCTTTAGGTTTAAGTCCTTCTCAGCAGTTAAAAGAACTTAGATTTTAACTAAAAACTATGTTCAACTTTCCATGAAGAAAAAAATAAAATCAGTGATCTGAATTCAGTAAAACTATTAAAACAGACTTTAAAGTCTTTATTACATTTAGATCCTTCAATCCCAGCTTCCAGAACTGTTCCTTTTCTAGCCACTTCTACTTCGGTATTTAACCACATTCATTCTTGCAGTTGCTAAATTAATTCTCCTATTTATGAGAACAAAAGTAAATTCAAAGTTTTCCCTAATAAGCCAAGTAAGATCTGAAGGTAAATCTCCCAAAGACAAAAGAACAGTTTCACTAATTCACTGAATCATTTTTAATAGATTAAGAAAAAAATACTTGGAACTTTACCTCTTGTTGCTTTTGAAGCCTCTCAATAGCATTCTTTTCACGAGAAATCAAGGCTTCAGACTTTGCTTGATGTGTCTTCTCTAACTCGTGACGCAACTCAGAGATTTCTTTCTGGGTCTGCACTTTCTCCTCCATTTTAATTTTTGCTATTTCAACTTCTTTAAAGTGTTCCAGCTTTTACATAAAGGAGGAAGAGAGGGCTAAGCAGGGCCATTTTAGAATTGACAAAGACAATCCTCTCTAAGACAATTCTAAATTTCACCTAGAAAATCTAGTTAGGAAATGATAATTTGATAAAAATTAATTACTGTGATAAAAGTATCTTAGCAGGACATGCTACCTGCACATCTCACATAGTTTTCTTGTGTTCATCCAGCACCCCAAAGCAGATCTTACACAAAACTATTAGCTTTAGACAAGAGCAAAATAGAAACCTATGAAGAAAAACACACTGCAGATATGATATTCTGCTTGGAATTAAGGAAAGGTCACACTCTGTAATTCCTCTTCTGACACTGTCTCTATTCTTGCCCCTTTCCCAAGATTCAAGAAATGGTAGAAGCAGACAGATCCTGCATTGCTCAGCAACCACAGAAATTCATCTGGATGGCATAAAAAATGCAGAACATGTAACTCCACATAAAGAGAGATTCCACAATCAGGTTACAGTCCTGATTCACTGACTTCTAAGCACAATTGAAAATAAAAGTAAATGCACACAAACAGGAAGGTATGAATATTGCAACTGCACAGAAGAATTGTAGGGAACATGACTCCATACAGTGTGTGAAATACAATGTATGCAAGAACAAATGGGATTATAAAGAATTACAATAAAAATTTGGATGACAAGGGAAAGCAAGCATACAAGATAAGAAAATGTAAGGAAAAAACGAGCAAGAGAATACAAAGAGAATGACAGAAAAATTGTGAGACTGGAGAAAAGATTAAAGAGGGGAAAAAGCAATGTCTAATCTAGGAATTCGGGTCTGTGGGCATAAATTTTATGAAAAATTAAGAAACAGTGAGACAGTGCAGCACCACTTGTATACAAAGTCAATTAGAAATGTCTCACAGTAATTCACCTCACATTGTTAAGGAATTCAAGTAAAGTCAATTGAATTTAGAAGAGATTTATATCTGGTTAAGATTTCAATCTCCTTTCTTACAACTGGTTTGCTTAAACTGATACAAACTGAACAATACACAAATTATCATGTTTCACATGATAATTTGACACAGACAGAGACAGTTAGAGAATAAAGACTAAATGAAAAATGAAGGTAAAATACATTGGCAGTTTTAATTCTGCATCCTTCTACTTATCCAGGTGAATAAATATGACTACATTGATTTCCTCAAACAGTTTATATGCAGCTGAGTGCCTTTAAAAGTGTGTCTAAGAATTCTGATTATTAGATTATATTTTTATATCCCAATAAACTACTGATCTTGACAGAAACTAATGAAAAAAATTATTTAAATGAACTACAGTTAATCTTTTCTAACTAAATAAACAGTTGATTTTGACAGAAATTTATGGAAAAGAAAAAGATGCACTTAAATGAATTGCAGTATATTCTTTCTGCTACATTTTTCAGACACAGGGATCATCATTCTAATTTTATTCCCAAAATGAAGGAAAACTCTCTAAAAGAGCTGTCTTCAATTAGAGAAAGAAAAAACCCCACAGAAATAATTAATAATACTGTCTGTTATGACTGTAGTGTTTCTGTGCAATGCTTTGAAATACTATGCAAATTCTCACCAGTATTAAAAAGTAGCTATCTGCCAAGCTACAGAGCAGCAAATCACAGCTCTCAGTTGCTATGCATTATATTGAAATTCAGGCATTAAAATCATAACTGGTAAGGAAAATAATTAATATGACTAAGTAGAGTAAACATTTCTCCATAAAACAAAATAATCAAAGAGCAAATAAAATTTACCAAATTAAAACAACCAGAGTAAGTAAATGTTTTGTTACAAATCAACATCAGAATAAAAAGCTTAACATTCTATGCACATATAACAAAAAAGGGGATTGCAAATATATGTTATATCATCAAATTAACAATTGATATTTGATTAACTTAACCTTTTGTGCTTGCTGTAACTATTAGATCTTTAATTTCAGTTTACTTTAAGTATTAAACGTTTGCAATGTGCAAAGTCAAAATTAACAAATGTCTCCCTCAAATTCATTGACCAGAGTTATACCTTTTGATGCATTTCTGCTTGAAGCTGCTTCTCTATTTCTTTTCTATATTCATGAAGTTTTACTTCTAAAGATTCATATTTCTGATGCTGGGGATAAGAGTCTGCAAACTGCTCATCAATCAGCTGAAGCTTCTCAGCTATAAAAAAGGCAACATATCCACCATAATTTAAAAAGTCACCACAGATATCTTACCAAAAACTGTAGGAACCTGTCTCTCTGCAGGATGTCCCTCAGCTTATCTAAGTAGCGCTATCCTAGAAACACTTGTGTGCTACAAAAGCAGAGGCAGAATGCCATTGATCTGCTTTATGCCACACAACACATATCTAGGAGGAGGCACTTAGCTGTTTAGGCACTATTTGTGGTATTACATAGTCATTCATCCTGTTTTCCATGGGTGGACTAGAATTTTTAGCTTTTTTGTAACAATATACTAACAACAGCATTCATATAATTCAAGAACTCCCAATCTATGTGTAACTTGTACTGAAACACTCATAGAAGGAGAAGTAAGGCACGCATTTACAATTACGTTTTCTAGAACATGTTTCAACACATAACATTTACAGTCCATCTGTCATAACTAAATGTCCAAGAAAACACCTGAGCGAAAAAAAAAAAACAAAACTTAAAAAGACTCTTGCCTTTTTAAAGAAAATTTAGAAATTCCATGTACTAGTGATAGACAAGATCTTCACTTATTATTACTTTAGGCTACTCTTGAATAAGTCATGAAAGCATACCATTCATACAATACATAAATCCATACCATTTACCAATCTGAAAGTATCTGGGGAGACTCACTTGCACAGGCTGCACTTACCAAGAGATTCTCTATAAGGAGGCACTGAGGTTGTCTGAGTTTCTGTGTTATGAGTTTCCTTATATAGATGATGCTCTGTAAGTCCGATTAAAATCTGCATAAGAAAACCTGGCGAGATCCAATAGATCAATTAGTTCTCATTTCATAACAAAACTGAATTTGAGCCTGTAATTAACAAAGTAATTTTCAATTTACAAGAAAAACCTACTTGATTTATAGAAAGAACAAGTATTTAAGTAAACTATTGTGGTTTTATTATAAGCATGATCCAGTCCACCTCATTCAGCAAAAGCTGCCCTTTTCCTCCCATCCATGTCTCTGTCTCTTTCACTCCCAAGGTCAGTTGAGAGTGAAGATTATTACTACTTAATTATGAAGCTAATTTAGGTTATACAGTATAGCTAGGTTTCATCATGAAGACATAAGAATTATTTCTTTTTCAAAACAATGGAAAGTAAATTAAATGTGTAACTAGTTCTGAAGTACATTCTGCAAGCTAATACAGGATTATAAACACAACCCAAAATCTGAGTTTGCCAAAGGGAGTGTGAAAAGCTTCCAAAGAGCATTATATTTAATACCTGATTACAGATTCTTCTCATCTTTCTAATGTTCAAGTCATTTATTTCATAAGTGAATGTTAACACCTAATCCACACAACAAATAGGAGTCAGATAATCCTGAAATATAACATTCATCACCCTAGTGTACTGCAAGCTTCAAAATCCAGCTGAATCCATATTATTCCATACCAACATGCACTCAAGAAATCTGAATTTTTATCGCTCACATCTTAACAAAAATGAAGCTAACACAATTATCCTTGTCTGCATCATATACAAATATCTTGTACCTTTATTTTCCTTCTGGGTTCCTGAAGTCTGTAAGAAAGAAAAGGAGTTTTAGCCAGTCTATTTTCATCACCGCTGTAATTTAAGTTTATTTTCAAAATCAAAATAACTTTACCAGTGATTTGTAAAGACTGGACTTTGGACTGATCCTCATTAAGTGAAGAAGGTCTTGCATAGTCCACAGCTTTGTGGAAAAGAAAGATCAGTGAGAAAAGGTTAACTGATTGAAAATAATTTCAAATATGTAAGAGGCCCTATTTTACAGTTGTACAATGTTTTCTATTGTAAGATCTATTTATTGTGTTGTAAAATCATGCAGAGGCTGCTGTTCTAGTACTACATTTACATATCTCCCCTACTTAAGACATACAGCAGCCAGTAGGTAGCTTTATGACCAGCTGAAGCTCTGAAAAGAGATAGTTTTGTTTCCTCCCCACCCTAGATACATGCCCTTGATACTTTCCTTGCCTCTTTTCTTCATTTATCATACAAGTCAGATGAGCTCACTGACCTAAATGACAACTAACTATTCACCAGGTCAAGAAATTAATTTTCAGTTAGAAACAGCTTTACCCTATCACAGACTTACAGAGAAGAAACAAAGAAAAGGCAAGGACTGCCCTTTTCAGCCACACTTTGTAGTTAGAACAGCTTTAACTGACCAGGAACCACAGTTTCAGGGCATTGAATGGTCAAACAAGCTTTTACCAGGATCAGTTCCCCAAACCCTCTGCCACACAGCCAGACTGTGGCTACATCTTTCCAGAACAGCATCGTTACCTTATTGCCAGTTTAAAGTATTCATGAAAATGGCCCTGAATAATGAAATGTTTTATGGAGATCATCAGAACCTGTACTTGTGTTTGTACTTCCCTATCACAAATTTTTTTTCCCATTGTTGGAATATGACAAGCCCCAGGAAGTAAAGCTTAGACATCATGGAAGAAGCAAATTACTGAACTTACCTTCTTCTTCTCCAATCCACTTTCTGGAAAGAAAACTGAAAGCGAATACTCGTAGCCACATCTCTGTAGATGATCTGCCACCAGACTGTTGGAAGCTGTGATCAAAAGTGAACTGTCATCGCTTGGAACCGCCTGTGGCTGAAGTTCTCCGCTCAAAATTGGGTGCATCAGTTCATGGATGAGCTGGTTTCGGAGCTGCGTCTGATACAGAAAAAACACTGTGTTCTCAGTTTACATGTTACTCAATGAGAGTTTTAATTTTTCAAAATCCAGGGTGAGTTTCATTTTACCTGTACAACCTACATAACAGAACAGGGCAGAGTAATTTTGGCAAAATCTGGAAGTGCACTTGGGACAACATGCCTTTCTTCAAAACACTCTTAACTGTGGATACAGTGATCCCTAACTTTCCCTCAAGATCTATGTAGGACTGAAAAGAAGTATTGTTCTCAGTCAAGAGCTCACACAAACACCACTCTCCTACCCCCCAGCTTAATTTTCCAATCACTGCTTTCCTGTTTTCCTTCCCTCTGGTTTAAAGCCTGCCTGATGTGGCCTCAATTGCAGATGTACCTGGAACCCTTACTAGTCCCCTTTCGAGTCTCATATCAAGAAGCTGCTGATGCCAGCACAAACAGAGATGAGAAAATAAACAGAAAATTCAATATCTTTAATATCAATTATTTTGTAGGAAAGCAAAAGGGTACTAATCAAACAAGCTTAGAGGCACTAATAATAATTAAATGGCATTTTTTTCCTTACATATTTGCATTCTGTGAGTTAAAACAGAGAAAAAAGTAACCTAAAATCAGAAAATCTCCCTCCTGTAAAAGGAGAAAATAATAATTTTCATTATATAGTTATACAAATTGTTTATAGCATACTAAAAGATCACGACAGAAACAGAGTTTTAAGCTTTCAAAAGGAGGTATGCAACCGTGACACAAAAAATAATACATCAGTGGAGAGAGTGAGACATTTGTATTCGGCGTGGCTTTCACTGCTCTCAGTGTTAAGCAGTACAGCGGATCACAGGTAGCACACAAAGCACACCTTAAGTGTGTCCAGCACACCTCGGCTCTTAAAAGTCTGATACAGTCTTTTCCGGAGCTCCTCTTGGGACAGCGCCTCCCTTTCAACCGAAGCCATTCTGCCCTACAACACCGGGGGGGGGGGGGGGGAGAAAAAGGGGCATTATTGACTCCCAGCTCGACCCACGGCCAGCGAAACGCCGAGCGCCGCCCCAGCCTCCCCCTCGGGCTTTCCCGGGACAGCCTCCCCCTACCCGCAGGGAGCGGGGCCGGGGAGCGGGGCCGGGGAGCACCACCCGGCTCGTCCCGGTACGGCCGGGCTGTGGCGCCGGTGGCGGCGCGGCCCCGGCGGCCGCTGTGCCGTCACGGAGGCGCCGGATGGGGCGGGCGGAGCGCGGCGCTTCCGGGCGGCCGCGGCAGCGGGGACGGATCATCGCGGTGAGGGGTGAGCGGCGGGGCCGGGCCGGACCCTGCGGTCCTTCCCCTGGGGGGCGGCGGGACGGCTCATCCCTCCCGGGTAACTGCGGAGTGCCCGGGGATGGGGCCGCGGGACCGCCCCACGGCCGCTGTGTGCGAGGGAGGACGGCGACCCTTCCCCTTCCTGCTGCCTGTGAGCAGGGTCCGGGGAGAGGCAGGCGAGGAGGTTCCTCGGAGGCGGTGCCCCGCGTTACTGCGTGGGATCGCCGCGTCCAGGTGGCTGAGGGGGCTGTCAGGGGGTAAATCATCAGTGAGCGGTGCAGGAGGCGTTTGTAGGTACCAGTAAATAGGGTCACTTCCAGGAGATGTTTAGCGCTCTAATGATATTCCCCCCCCCCCTTCCCCCAGAATCACAGAACGGGGAAGGTCGGAAGGGACCACAGTGGATCATCTGGTCCAGTCTCCCTGACCAGGCGGGGTCATCCCATAGCATGTGGCACAGGTTTGCATCCATAGTATTCTTGAATATCTCCAGTGAGGAAGACTCCACAACCTCTCTGGACAATCTGTTCAGTGCACGGTCACCCACACAGTAAAGAAGTTCTTCCTAGTGTTCAGGTGGAACTTCCTGTGCATCAGCTTCTGCCTGTTGCCTCATGTCCTGGTAGTTGGCACTACTGGGTCCATCCTCTTGATATGCATACCTAAGTGTTTATCTCTCTTCAGCCTCTGGTAAATATGAACAGGAAGCATGTTGGCTAATTTTTAGGATCACTTCTACACGGACTAATATATAGAGTCATCAGCATGTCTGGTTTTTTTTTGGTAAGGATTGCTATTTTGAAGAATGTCTGGAAGTTTCTACTTCGTGATAGTTGGTCATCATGATAATCCCATATTTGAAATGGAATTTCTGCCTCCTGGAAAAGTAGAGTCTAAGGTATGTTTTTTCCCCTGTGACATTCCTATGATGTACTTACAGTGCATTTAATTGTATAGTTTTACAGTGTATTAGAAACACAACCGGCATGTTATTAGAAGTAGTATCTACTGTTTTCTGTTTGTTTGGTTTTTTTTAACCAGAAACTTTGTCATAGGGAGTAGAACTCTGGAGTTCTCAAGTCTCTTAAAAATCCTTGTCAGATCATACTAGTTCTTCATAAAACACATCTTCTTTAAATATTTGCTGCTATATGTTATAGAATATATATCCTAGTTGTGCTTTGGTAATTTTTCTTAGTGTGTAGAGGTTTTATAATAGCTGTTCATTATTTAATGCTACTTAATTTTAAGGTATTTGTATACAGTAATAAGGTAAAGTAAGGAATATAAATTTGAAAGCTCCTTCATTTTTTATGCTATAAAATATTTTTTAACCATCTTCACTAGTCATACTTACTTTTAAGTAAGAAAAGTTTAAAACTTGTATTGATAAATAAAGACTTTGAAAACATCAGAAATGTAAGACTACTCAATCAGTAGTGTTTCCAATGGGAAAAGAACAAACTATGCATAGTGATATTACATGAAAGAAAAAACAGACTTCAGAATAAAAGTACATGAATCTGTGAGCGTATCCAAAAGTGGAAGTGTGTACTGTCACTGATTTGAACTGCATGGCATAATCTGTATTTTGAGCTAGTGTCCCATAAAAGATCATAAATAAGGCTACTCAGACTAGACTTAGTGGGAGGGTGTGTCAGATTGTGGAAAAATTCATTTTCTGCATTCTGCTAATGGAAATAACTTGGCTCAGGTAAGCTTCTTGTCTGACTGAGCTTGGAGTACTAATTTTGGTCCTAAGAATCTAAACTTGATGTGCACTGAAGGAGAACGAGTAGACATTGATATGTTTTGGCAACTATTATGCCTGTTTCTGAGACATGCCACTGCAGTGAATTCAGTGGCACTACACAGCCCCCTAAGGCAAGAGGTTTGCATAATGTACGTGGTAAATCAGCAGAAGCTTTTGCCCCTTTAACTTTGCTACCTAATCTCTTCCTCAGTATGGCTTAATGGAACTTGCAAAGCTGTTAATGGACTGAGCCATACCTGATTTGTGGGAAAAACTGAGGTGACGATGGCAGTAACAGCATCCCTGTATTATGAGAAACAGTGCAAGACTACTTATTTTTCCAGTCTAATAAAAGCTTGCAGTATCATTTTGTTCTGTATCTCTTCTTGGCAGACGTCTTCTGGTGTTCTAGGTCTTTGCCTACACAGCTCTTTAGTGATAGGGCCAAACACTGATCACTCTCATGAGGGCCACTGATGTTTATTATAGGAAGAGATGCAATTTACTTCTGTAAGCACATATTTAATACTAGTTGCAGGATGTTTTTCTGCACTAGGTTTTAGGAAAAAGAAGACCTCCAAAACACTAAAACAATCCTGTTTCTAAGTAAATAACATGAAAAGAACAGAATCTTTAGGTGATGTTATCAGTACGCCTGTCCTCTGTACATCTCTGCTTTCCCCATCTGTCCCCCTGATTTTACACACTGTAATCTGTTGTTCAATTTCTGCCAAATTTGACAGAAACATTACAGTCCAAAAACTGCTACATTGGTGTAAATGTCGCAAAAATAGGTGTCTTGAAGGAAGAGAAAAATACATACCAGGGCCTCTTTTGTGGAATGAGTTAGCAGTGGGAGTTTACCCATTAAACAAAAGAATTCGTGCTTGAATTCATTCCTGAGCGATAAGTATAGGCTTTATTGGTTCTGCTGCTCTCAAGACTGGTTTTGTGATGACCAATGTTTTTGCGATATTATGATGACCTTTTTTCTTCCTTGAATCATGACAATTTAATTACAGGATGGCACACATGGCAGAAAAGCAGGGTATATGTATCTTCATGTAACTTGAGCACTGGTTGTTTAGCAACTTGAGCAAATTATTGTTTATATTTCACTCTTTTCACTGAATTACTAATCCTCTGTCTTCTGGGAATACATTAGGATGATCATCGTCATCTCAACCAGTTCATTGCCCATGCTGCTCTTGACCTAGTGGATGAGAACATGTGGCTTTCTAACAACATGTATCTGAAAACTGTGGACAAGTTTAACGAATGGTTTGTTTCTGCTTTTGTCACAGCTGGACATATCCTTTCCTATTCTCTTTCCTTATATTTCTATAGAAAAGGCCTTTCGCCAGAAAGACATAAAATGAATTTGGAGCAGATTTTCACTGTTGTTGTTAGAGAGAGTCACCAGCTTCAGGAAGAACTGTGTTGGGAGGCACAACAGCTGTTTCAAACTGGGAACAATTGGGAAGGTGGATTTTTACTTTTGGAGGAGCTGAAATAGCCTAATGAAATGTGGAGCTCACATGGACTAGAGGAAAGAAGTATGAGAGGGTCTAAGCAAGCTTATATGATTCTCTGTTCCAACTCCTTTGATTGTGCTAGAGAGGAGAGGTGGGGATGAATATGCTTGGTGTCAATCACACCAGTCGTGAAAATGCAGCGTCAGGGCTTGATCTTATGTCCTGGCAGTGTTTGTGGAGAAACATTTGTTATACATAGCAAATAACACTGAATGTAATTTTAACCTTAGGGGTATATGGCAACGGTTCAGAGAGTGTCATCCACATTCAGAAATATATACTACTTTAAATGCTTCCTCCTATGAGTCACTGCTATTTCATGTACAGCTAAACATATATGCAGAATTAGGTGTAAATGCTTATCTCAGGATATGTTACATATCTCTTTTCTTCTTGAAAGTTCTATTTTCCTTAATTGCTGTACATATGAGATTTATAATGCTTCATGATGTAAGGCTAGAAGATGGAATTAAGAACTTCTTTAATGATGTATATGAGTTGTATATAAAGGTAAGAACCCAATTCTTATGGTCTTGCTGCAGTACTTTTAAGCGTGTTCTGCTGTACATGGTCAGGCACACGTGTTTTAGCACGTTTTCTCATGGGGGCCTGTATAATTGGAGAAGAACCTGTCCACATCAGCCAGAGTTGGTAACATGTGACACAAAGGCTTTGTTTTGCATTAAACAGAGTAGATTTTTCTAAATTGTTATAAACTGTGCTCTTTCAGAATTTACTCTTCATTTTAGTCCAGTGGTTTTTTCACAGAATAGAATGGTTTGGGTTGGAAGGGACCTTAAAATTCATCTCGTTCCAACCCCCTGCCGTGGCAGGGACACCCTTCCACAAGACCAGGTTGCTCAAAGCCCCACACAACCTGACCTTGAACAGTTCCAGGTATGAGGCATCCACATCTTCTCTGGGTAATAGAGAAGTTGGGAGGCAACTTCTTTTGAGGCATTTTGGGGCAGTATTGTGTCATTAATGGTGATAAAAAAGGAAAGGACTGTTCTACAAAGCCTGGCGGCAGTGCTTTGCTCTCAAAACACGTAGCCCTGTTCTCACATCCCAGTGTATTTCCACTAGATGGGGTAATGGCAAAGTGTCATGGGAAGCATCACAGTCTCAGCCTCCTGCAGGCACTCAGATGATGCTTATTTCCAAAAGAGAAATTTCAACTGGTGTTGTGATGCATTTGTTCTGAGGAGCTGGTTCTAGGGGATGGCTCTGCACATATATGGGGAGAATGCAAGGGCCGGGAAAGAAAGGACTGTTTAGGAGTTTTGTGCTCTTCGTGGCACTAAATAGGCCAAAAGCTAGTAGTAGATTTCACCTAAGTGACATTTTCCAGGGCTGTATTTGTGTTTATTGATAAGTTTTTCTCCTTTCCCCAGTTTGCAATGAATCCATTTTATGAACTCAATTCTCCTATTCGATCTACTGCCTTTGAAAGGAAAGTCCAGTTCCTTGGGAAGAAACACCTTTTAAGCTGAATAAATAAAGTCGCTGAGTGTTTTTTCCATATTTTCCTGACTGTTTGAACTGTTATTCTTCTGGTTAGTTCCCTGCATGTTTGAGATTCATCTTCTGAAGACTGACAAACTGGGTGCTGAAGGAACTTTTTCTTTTTGATGGTACAGATAAGAACAGCCAAACTTCTCTGGTTAAAATATGTTATCAAGAAGTTTCCTTTTATGTGGTA